ATGGATAAAGGGGTGGCTTTGTGGGTTCAAGGGCATAATGCACAGGGCTGGGTATACAGTTGGCATCTAATAAGGGAGACTTATTGTCATCACATAGCTTAACACTAAGCTCTTCTTTCACTTATTTAAACAAACATTTGCTCACGTTTTGGTGGGAACAGAGGTTCTCAAACTTGAGCATGCATCAGAATTGCCTGGCTGGCCTCTTTCAGATGCAGATTGCAGAGCCCCACTCTGAGGGTCTGATTCAGATGGTCTGAGGTGCGGCTCTGGAATCGGCATCACTAGCAAGTTCTCCGGTGATGCTGACCTCATCATTCAGGGAACACGCTTTGAGAACCACTGGCTTGGAGTGACAGAGGAAACAGATCACCCTGCCCTCATGAGGGCATTGAGCAAGTAAATATCACAGAATGTGCATGTTCTGAAGAGGGACGTGCAGGGTGCTTGGGGCTGCTCCCAAGCGGGGGAGTTCACGCTAAGACCTGAGGGTCTAGTAGAGCCAGCCCAGTAAGCAGAAGAGGGGTGAAAATGTTGTGAAACACTCACTTAGAATAGGCAGGCTCTCTCTCACGTCATTCATCCATTCCTCCCAGCCAGTGTCAGGAAGGTAGGATTAAACCCCATTTTACAGACGAGAAAGGTGAGGCTGAGAGAGAGAAATAACTAGCCTGAGAACTCATGGCAAGAAAGAAGTCCAGGTCTGTTTGTGCACTGGACACCCACCAGCAGCCACACCCCCTCTGCTGCACCCCCAGGAACCCCCTTCTTCCTAGGGGAGCTGCCACCTGGACACAGCTGCAGGGCCCGGCCAGCCGCACTCTGTCCATTTCCCCCACTGGAGCGCTTCAAGTGTTTTCACTGCCGGGTGAATTCAGCAGATGCCTTTCGATCGCAGCCTATTAAATTAGCCCCTCTCTGCAGCCAAAAGAAGATAATTATGTTTTCATTAGCCCTGGATAATGTATTGCCCCCTCGGTGACAGCCACGTCGGTGAGGCCAACCTCCTCCCGCCCGGGGCTCCACTAGAGCACTCCGCCCCCCTGGGGTCCACCTCTGCACTGAGGGGCGGGCACCAGGGAGGGTCAGAGTGGCTGGGAGGGGGAAAGGGCACCCTTTACACCCATCCACCATCCATGCAGGGGTTGAGGGGTGTGGTCCTGAGAGAAAGGCCAAGAATAATTGTTATCGTGGTGACCATTTATGAAGTGCCTGCTGTATGCTGATGCCCGGACGCGTCTCAGCTGGTTTGATCCTCCAATAGCTCGGGAGAAAGGTGGCACAACCCTCATCTCCCCCTGAACCCCAAAGGGGTCCTGGTGGAATCAGGTTATTGTGACAGACCAGAGCACCTTCCAAGGAACTACACCCTAGGGGCACTTTTGGGACTGTCACTGTGCACCATCCCAAGGCCACCTGATTGATGGTAAAACTCTTGTCTCCACTTGCTCGGGATCTCTGGAGACCCTGCCCAGCACTCGTGTGGTACAGGCCCCCAAACACCAGGAACCACTCTCCGCCAACCCTAGACACTTCCCGTATGGCTCCGACAGCCTCACTCTCCCTCTTTCTCCACAAGACAGTGGTGAGGAGGCAGGAAGATCCCCCCCTTTGGGGTCCTGAGTTCCAATATCTGCTTTACCACTGATTTCCTGGGTGACCTGGAGCAAGACATTTTGCCTCCAGAGCCTCTATTTTCTCCCTCTGTAAAATGGGAATAAGAAAGGGAACCACCTCTTACGATTTTTATGATGGTTCAGTGAGATATAACTATTAAACGCTTGGCTCAAAACCAGCAAAATGAGAAGTTCTCAGTAGAAGACGGTCATTGTTCTATTTACTACCACAACCAGCATCCCTCACTCCCCTCAATCCTAGGGAAACCAGCAGAGGGAGGGAAGGGAAGTCTCCGGCTGTCACGGTCCATCTTCCTCTGTACGTCTCCGGCTGTCACGGTCCATCTTCCTCTGTACCTCCGTCTCTCTTCCCCGTCTCTGCCAGTTTCTCTCTCTGCCAAACTCTTTCCGTCAATCTGCCAATCTCTCTCTGCCTCTCTCTTCTCTTACTCTCTTTGTCTCTCTCTCTTTCTCTCTGCCAATCTATGTCTCTGTGTCGTTTTTTTTCCATCTTTCTGTCTCTGCCAATCTGTCTGTCTCTCTCTGCAAACCTCTCTGCCTCTCTCTCTTCTTTTACTCTCTTTCTCTCTGCCAGTCTCGGTCTCTCTCTGTGTTTTTTCTGCCTTTCTGTCTCCGCCAATATGTCTCTGTCTTCCTGCCAATCTCTGTCTCTCTCTCTTTTTCTGTGTGGTTTTTCTATCTCTGTCTCTGCCAGTCTCTCTCTGCATCGGTCTTTCTCTGTCTCTTTCTGTGTGTTTTTCTCTCTGTCTTTCACTGTCTCTGCCAGTCTCTGTCTCTCTCTCTCTTTGTCTATATCTCTCTTCCCCCTCTCTTCTCTGACTCTGTGTGTTTCTCTCTCTCTCTCTCTCTCTCTCTCTCTCTCTGTGTGTGTGTGTGTGTGTGTGTGTGTGTGTGTGTGTCTGTCTGTCTGTCTGTCTGTCTGTCTGTCTGTCTTCCTCTCTCATCTGCACACACACAGGGGGCCCCTCCCAGTGCCTGGCTCCACCCCGGGCTCTGAGGCTCCGTCTTCCCAGAGCTACATTCTAAGGCTTTTGCTTTTCATTGCACCAGGGCACCTGGAAGTGATGAGAGAACTGAGGGGAGCGGGGTTTCTGTGCCCCCTCCCCAAACCCAAGCCAACTCTGCCTTCTGCAGGCACAGCCCAGCTTTGGCACTGACCCTAGCATCTCGTGACCATGCATCCCCTCCCAACCACCCTTCTCCCCAGTTTCAAAATAGTTTGTGCTCCCAGAGAGGTAGTGCCCCTACTTGGAGCTTCTTTTGGCCCCGACCCACGCAGAGGCAGCTGTGGACTCTGTTTTGAGAAGGTAGACTGCCAGCCCAGTGGAAGAACGGCTTCCCTTCCCCTGGCTTCCTGATTTTCCCCAGTTGCCATGGTAATTGAGGGAGCAGCGTTCTGAGACTGACACCACGGAAACCCAGCGCTCAACTTTGAAATGGTTCAGGCAGGGGACGCTGGACCCAAGACAGGAGGGGACCAGACTGCAAGGACTCAGCTCCAGCCTCGATTTTCTGAGACTGTCCCCCCATCCAGCCTTTACGCCACTGTTCTTAGCACCATCAAACTCATTGTTACTGTCGGTAACTGTTTCCTGGGCGTTTACTATATGGCCGGCTCTATGTCAAGGGCTTCACCAGCATCATCTCATTGTGTATATCTTCACAGTGTCCCAGACCCATCTCTTAGCTCAGGAAACAGGCTCTGAAACTTGCCCTTGTGACAGTCAGGAAGTGGCAGAGCCCTGGGCCTGGTAGCATTTCTCCAGTCCTCCTTCCTGAGTGTGTAAGACAACAGAGACCTCCACGCACCCTCGTCAGCTTATTCTTTATTCCTTCCTCCCCTCCTCATCCCCCACACCCCTCTTCCTGCCCCCAAAGTCACACCCCCCCCCTTCCCCTGCTGGATGTGCAAGACGATCTGAAAAGCATTTATTAGTGACAAAGGGGGGTGGTTTTCCTCTTTGCCTCTTCTCTGCGCAACTCGAAGCCTGAGTGGGCTTGCTCCTCTTGGCAAGGCTGGGGAGGAGGAAAAGATCAAATCAACCAGAGCCAGGTGCCAAGTGTGTGTATGTGTGCGCGCGTGTGTGCGCGTGTGTGTATCCTCTCTTTCCTTGATTTTCCCCCGTTTTCCCAAGACTGTGTGAGCAGCAGCAGCAACGGAAAGAAGCAAAATCCTTTGCAATCTGCCCAGGAAAAGACAGCTTTTGAGTCGGGTTTATATGGTTACCCATATGTTAGGGCCCCTAAGAAAGGAAGGGAAGCTGCCTTCTCTGTGTCTTCCCCTCCTCCAGCCCAGACCTTGGCCTCTCCACCACACCTGTGGGGCTCCCAGGCCGGAGAAACGCATCCCCTCCATTCTTCCCCCTCTCCAGATGCCAGGTCTGAGTGTGGCTCCAGAAAAGACCAGAACCAGGCAACATTTCCTGAACAGTCTGCCTTTCTCTGTCTGTCCACCCAAGGGCCAAGGCTGCGACCTCTGCGGGCTCCCTGGAGGGGCTCGCAGCACTGCCCAGCCTGGGGGCTGCGTGTTCCACTGTCCCACTAAGGAATGCTCTCCCAGCACTGACGCAGAGGCACAAATAACCATCCCTGCTTCCCATGGGGCCTTCTCTGCCCAAATGAAGATGCCCGCCCCTGCGTGGCTACCACATTCAGCCCTCTCCAGGCTCCCAGAAATTGTCATTGTGTGTGTGTGTGTGTGTGTGTGTGTGTGTGTGTGTGTGTGTGTGTTTCCTGATAGAAAAAAAAATGGAAATTAGGTTATATAAAAGATGTATGCTTTGGAGCCCAGAGCGGCTCTTTTAATGAGGGTTGCGACGTCTCCCTCCCCACACCCATAAACCAGCCGGGTTGGACGTCACCACTAATTCGTTTCAGCGATGATAGGATAAAGGAGGGACATTAAGAAATAAATTCCCCCTCACGACCCTCGCTGAGCTCACGGCTCAGTCCCTACATATTTATGCCGCGTTTCCAGTCGCCGGGTGAGGAGCTACTTAGCGCCGCGGCCACTCCGAGGGGCGGCCGGGCAGCGAGCAGCGGCCGAGCGGACGGGGTGAGCGAGGGGCGTGCGCGGGGCGCCCAGCACTGCGCCGGGGAAGCCCGAAGCCTCTGTCCCGAACTTGGGTTCGCTGGGGCTGAGGGAGGGGACGCAAGGGGAGGGGAGAAGAGAAGGGAAGAGTGGGGGATAGGGGAGAGGGGGTGGGGAGGGATCTTAGAGGCACAAAGCCGAGGGGAAGGGGAGCGACGCGCGCGGCTCCTACCCGGAGGCCAGTGGGTGCAACCGGCGCCTTCCAGCCGCGCGGGGCGGCGGACTCGGAGGATTCAGAACCCGGAGCTTGACAGCTGCGGGCGCCCGGGAGGAGGAGGAGGAGGAGTAGGAGGCGGGCGGGCGGGTGCGCAGCGTGAAGAGGCAGCATCCGCGCTGCCCGGCTCGGCGGCAGGTGAGTTCCTGATCCAGGCGTCCCGCGCCCCTTCTCAGTCCCCAGGGCTCCCCACTCCCGCCCGAGCCGCTGTTGTTCGCGGAAGGCTCGGGCTTTGCTGTGCGTCCCAACTTGGTTCGAGCGGCCTCGTTTTCCACCTAGCAGGCGGCCCCAGGCCCAGGGCTCAGGTCCTGAGGGTCTGCGCGCCCGCCCCGCTCCAACTTTGCAGGGACCCCAGTCCCTCCCTAGCCACGCTAGGCTCCGAGCTGCGCGCCGGCGGTAATGGCGGAGCCCTTGGCACCGCTCGCTACCCTCCTGCGGGCAGCCCGGGCCGGGGGATGCCAGTCCCTGGGGACCATTGCAGCCGCCCTAGCTCAACTTTACGCCTTCCTCGGTGCCCGACTCTGCTGCCAAATCGCCGCTGCGAGCCGCGGATAATGGCGGAGTCTTTGGCACCGGCAGCCGTCCGCGACTGGGGGCCCGAGGCTGGGAGGGCTCCGCTCCCCGAAACCTCGCTCCGGCCTGGCCTCCAACTTTGCGAGGAGCCTCGTCGCGCTCTCCTCCCGCGGTCACGGCAGGGCCGCCCGTACCTCTCACTTTTTCCATCAGGGCGGGATTGGGGTGTAGGAGCGCCGTCTCCAGAACCCGGGAAAGTTGTGCTTCTCCTGCGAAGGAGGCTCTAGGGCTCACCGTGTGTCCGCCAGGAGGCCGAGGGGCGCGCTCCGCCGCGGTTTGGGGCTGGGCAGTGGAACGAGCGCGCGATGAGGTTGCTTCCAGGTGGCCAAGGGTCGGAGCAGGGTCCCCGGGGCATCCAACTTCCAGGGCCACTCAGGGGCGCTTGAGTCCGAGGTCCCGGAAGGGGCTCTCTCAGGACTGCGCCCCAGAGGACGCCAGACGCTCGCCTCCACCCCCAGGTCACTGTGACCAGAGAGAGCTGGTGGCTTTCCAAGCTCTGCATCAGGCTGTCTGGGGTAGACACCCAGAGAGGAGAGGCTTTCACGGAGAAGGCGGCCGAGGAGGGCAGGAACCTTTCCAGTGACTCCCCGGGTTTGTGGTCCTAGATCTACCCATTACTTGTTGCGTGACCTTCGGTAAGTCTCTTCATCTTTCCCAGCCTCAGTTTCTCATCTGTGAAATGGAGAAACAGTACCTTTTTCATGGGGCTGTCGTGAGGACATTAAAAAACCATAAATGTGAATATGATGTCAGGGTAAGTGTTCATAACGCAGAAAGTGCTGCTGATACTCGATTATTATTGTAATGCTCTGGGACCGGATCTGGGAGACTCGCACGCAGGTCTAGGGTTTCCCGCCAGTAGGAACTGGGGGTCCACCCGCAGGGTACTACGGGCTGCAGAAGGTTGCGCTTGCCTCCATCTCTACCCCGATAATCCTGGGGAAGACGCATGGGGTTCTTCCCTCTCCTCCCATAGCCCAGCTCAAACCCTGTGCTCAGGCCTAAGAAAAACGCACAGGCAGCCACCGCAGGGGGGAGGTCCCCATGGACGCTGCTAGGCTAGGGTGCAGTGCGAGCGAGCGCGCCCCTAGGTGCCTAATCTGACCTCTGGCGGCTCAGGACCGTGAGAAACAGGAGAAAGGACCCCCCTGACCACTCCTCCCGAGAGGAATGAGGGAAAACGGTTCCCTTTCTTCAGTGCTTCTCTAACTGGGGTCGGGGCAAACGCAAGAAATTCACAAACACACCAGGGAACATTGACGCAGCTCTCTGGAGCGTGGATTTCCCCCGTTATTTTTTAGGAACTGAAGATAAAATAGGAAAGGGGCTCCAGTGGCAGCTCCCCAAGCGCTCAGGGGTCGCCTCCGTTCTCTGCCCTCAAGGCATCTCAGCGGATGGTTTGAGAAGCCTCCGCAGGTCTCTGAAGGAGGGGTCTCTTTCACTAGCCTGGGTTTCAGAAGCGCCCTGAGGGGCGCACAGCTCTGTCACTGACACTGACAGCTCCAAAGTACTGTCAATATTATTCACCTGGAGCCTCCTTATGACTCCCAGCTTGCCAGTGCAGCCATCTGAATCCCATTTGGCAGGTGCAGAAACTGAGGTGGGGCAAAGCAAGCTACCTGCGCATAGTCACCTAGCTGGTAAGTTGCGCTACCCAAAACCTCAACCCCAGTTTTTGGCTTCTTAATTTGGGGCTGTTTGCATGCATCTGGGCACCTGCTCAGTCTGACATGTACCTGAGCCTTGGCACGCACAGCTGCATTTCCCGATATATCTGTTCAGCCAGAGGCCACCCCTATGGTCAGGGGCATGGCTGTGTCTCTCCAAATTGTGTGTGTGTGTGTGTTTTCCCAAAGTTCCAGATCCTGTAGAGAAAGAGTGTGGTAGAGAGACCTGGTGAAGACCTTGGCTTGAGGCCAAGCTTAGCTCACTCCATGGCTGTGTGACCTCGGGCTGATCACTTAACCTTCCTGAGCTTCAGTTCTGTTATTTGTAAAATGAGAATAGTAACTCCCATACGGGGAAGTTTGTGGTTATGTATGTGAAAGGTGTTCTGAAAACAACGATGTTATGCCAAGATTGGTGATTTGAAGGAAGGAAGGGAACCCTAAACAGAAGGAAGTATTCCATGGAGCCATTTGGGGCTAATAATGTCACCGTGGCTTTCAGACCAGCCTGCTTTTTGCACTTTCTCTCTTCTTTTTTTTTTTTTTTTTTTTTTTTTTTTTTTTTGCCTAATGGCCAAAGCCAGTCCCTAGGAGCCTCTGTGTTCCGTGAGGAAGGACCACAAGGAGAAGAATGAGAAGCTGGCGGTATCGTGATGGGTTAGGCTGCTCCCAAGGGATCTCTGTGAGTGCGATGCAAAGAGCTGTCCGAGGTGCCACTCAGAGAATTGTCCAGAAACTTCCCCACTGGCAGGGGTGCTGATTTCCCAGGTGGCAGAAAGCTCTGGAGATCAGTTTACCTGATATTGTGAGCACAGACAAGTTTGACTGCCTGTTGCACTCACAATCTGCAGATGTTTTTTCCTGTGATGCCTGTCACTCAGGTTCTGTGGGTCTATGCAGGGCTTGGAATGTGGTGAAGAGCCGCAGGCAACAATCTGTGCTCACGAGAACTGAGGCTTTTTCTCATTAGAAACTGGAATTTGCAGAAGTTGAATCTGACATTTCAGGACCCATTTTCATCCAGATTGTTTGAATGAAGGGGCATGTTTTCTGCCACGAATCAGTGTGGATTTGTATGGTTAACACCATATAGGTTATAGACGTGACCATTTTCTTTGTTCTAATATATGATAACATTTTTTTTCCTGAGTCAGAGTTTCGCTCTTGTTACCCAGGCTGGAGTGCAATGGCACGATCTCGGCTCACCGCAATTCTGCCTCCTGGGTTCAAGCAATTCTCCTGCCTCAGCCTCCCGAGTAGCTGGGACTGCAGGCTCATGCCACCATGCCCAGCTAATTTTTGTATTTTTAGTAGAGACGGCATTTCACCATATTGACCAGGATGGTCTCGATCTCTTGACTTTGTGATCCACCTGTCTCGGCCTCCCAAAGTGCTGGGATTATAGGCATGAGCCACCACGCCCGGCCTATGATAACATTTAAACATCATCTAATCCAGCGAATACCAAACATCAGCCCAGTGGACTATTAGTGTCAGAATACAAGTCACTTCTTTAAAAGCAAACATGCCAGGTCACACCCTAAATCCACCACATCAGCATCCCTGGGGGAGAGCAGAAATATGTATATTTTTTTAACAAGGCTGCTCCAGGAGATTCTAATGCCCTCAGTTCTTGTCTGTCACTCTCATGGTACAAATGGGGAAACTGAGGCCCAGAAAAAGCATGTGACTCAATGGAAGTCACACAGCACATTACTGCCAAAGCTGGGATAGAACCTCAGTGTCTTGACTCTTCGTCCAATCCTCACTGATGATCATAACTCCATGTTTCACCTTTCAGTACAGAGAAGCCCCGTAAATGCCAAACTTTAAAGAAATTTAATTTAATCTCCTCTGGTTGTCATTCTAATTTAGACCAACTGCTCAGAGGGGACTGAAAATAATTCCTCCCACCTTGACCTTGCTGGGTGTCAGTCTGAGTTCCTGTCTAATCTTGGCCTTTAGCCCCACTATTTGATCTGTCCCTTTCAAGGGGGAAATTCGATTTTTTTTCTTTTTCTTTTTCTTTTTCTTTTTTTTTTTTTTTGAGACAAAGTCCACCTCTATTGCCCAGACTGGAGTGTGGTGGTGTGATCACAGCTCACTGCAGCTTTGACCTCCTGGGCTCAAATGATCATCTTTTCTCAGCCTCCCGAGTAGCTGGGACTACAGCCACGTGCCACCACACCTGGCCAAGTTTTGTATTTTTTGCAGAGATGGAGTTTTGTCATGTTGCCCAGGCTAGTCTTGAACTCCTGGGCTCAAGCCATCTGCCCTCCTCGGCCTCCCTAAGTGCTGGAATTACAGGTAGGAGCCACCGCACCAGGTCTAGAAAATTCCTTTTATAAGTGACCTATCAGGTGTAACTTCTGGAAAGAAGTAATCACAGAGCTAATAAACCCAGTTTAACTACCACTGATTTCACCAAAACCATTGGTTTGAGCTCATTTCAACAGCCCATTAGCTTTCCACCCAAGCTTTGTGAGCATGTTTATTGCTTACCTGCCGGTTCTTAATGTAGAAGAATTATGAGCAGCACCTGGCAATGCTGGAAAATTGAGCCCATTTGAATCTTGTCAATGAAAATGATGTATCAACAGAAAGTGCCTAAGTCCCTAATTCAAGTGTGGGAAACAGGGTATAGCGGACATGGGTCTTGGCACGGTCATATGATGCTAAGGATCAACAGCAGTGATTGTGGGCTGTTTGGTAGCAGACATCGGCACATTTGTCAAATGTGTCATGATAGGTATGAAATGGCAAGGCCAGTGCTGGACCCCAAGAGCAGGTGCCCAGATAAAGGTGGTGTGAGCCCCATTCTAATGAAGCCTGCATTCTGGCTAAGCAGTGAACACCAGACAAGCCCTGTACCTGGCATGAAGTTTCTGCAAGATAGGT